ATTATCGTAGCAAATTGTGGTTGAGCATTTATATTATTGTGTTACTTACATGTACTAAAAAAATATAGGACCAATCTTTTCTGCGTTTTCCTTTACAAATGATGAGGTTTAATAGCCATAACCTAACCGACATGTTGGTCGAGGATCGATTTATTCGCAAACGAATTATTAAACTAAAACGACTCAGTCAGTTTTCAARTGAAGCAGTATCGGTATAAGATCTTTTTCTTTTTAAAATATCTATCAGTTTTAGAGAATACATGACAAAGAGTTGATTTGTTAAGACACTTACAGTAATATAAAATAAGTTTTTTTTTATACGTTTATAATACACTTAATGTGATTTTTGAAACAGGGATTACGGTGACCCTTTTAAAGAARCATACAATTTGATATATCTTATACTAACTTAGTCTTCATATTCTTAGTCATAGCTTTTGTATTCATTTACAAAAATGGAAATAATTTATCATTTAAAAGATTTTATCTTAAAAACACTTTTTTACAGCTTTGAAATGCAATGTCAAATATCACAGAATTGGATGTTTCCAAGACGAACAGAAGAAAATCCGCCCACTCCCTAAATTACTTTTCAGTGAACGCGAGGGGCCTGACGGCAAGATTATTGACTGGCAAAATTGGGACACATACATCGAAGAGGTGGTTTGCCGCTGTGCAAASCAAACAGCACAGAACAAGTTTACGTACTTTGGCATGCAGTTTTACGGTACGTTACATGTTAGACTTGATTTTTGCAATTTAAGATATTTTCCATTGTGATTTTTGTTCATATTTTTGCTATTTTTCTGAGAAAACATTAGCTTTTCTTGTTATCGATATATTTCAGTGAAAATGACACTATTTTCGACGTTTCGAGCCTTCTTTTTGCTCTAAAAATTAGGTTAAAAACGCTTTAAATAAATTCGTGAATTTTCATACTTTCCCAAATCAGTTTTCCCCGGATGTGCAAACGCGCCTCTTGTTTATAACAAAATTGGCGGGAATCTTTCCGCCATTTGATTTGGCTTCCTTAGGAAAATATTCTATTGATTTTGCTACTATTTTGGATCTTGACTATATATGTTTGAAATAAAATGTCCGACAGGTTTCCTGTGGTGCTACACGGACGGAAGAAGGACGCAACCGTACGGTCGGGAACCCTGTGTGTCCTTTTATCTAATATGGCGCTCTGCTATGAATTAATTGAAGATCCATATATCATCATGACAAATTTTTTATTGTATTTGAGTTAATTTTACAGAGAAAATCTAAATGCATACTTGAAAAAATAATTCCCACAAATTTCCATGATATTTGCAGTTTAGGATCACATCCAATCATCTTCACATAACTTCCTGAATTGATATAATCTCTACACACTTGGTAATGAAGCAATGATGATCCTGAAATACCACCGGAACCTATTAGCTGAATAAAAGTATTCGTTTCTTTTAATTTTCTTTTTTCATTTTTTTTCAATTTCTTTCTTATAAATCAAATTCAGATATTGTGGAAATCAAACCGTGCTCAGAAATAATGTCTGCTCGTGAATATTGACATAGCAGTACATGTATGTTTGCAATTAACCAATCMATTGTCAATATTGAAATCGGATCTCACTGTTCATAGCGTAATGTGCATAGCCCAAGTCATTCAAGATCGTCTTTTTTGCAGGCGAATGTTGGTCTGGAGAGGGTGCAGGAACATTTGCTCGTGATGGMCAAAGTCCACATTGTGTAACCAAAGGTTTTGATAAATGCAAAGCACGGTCCAGTCAGATTTGTGTAGGAGAGAGTCATGCTAACTTCGTCTACATGCTTTCTAGTCAAGGTATGGRTTCCAATGAAATTTTCTTAATCCAAACACTATAAAACACGTTTAAGCCGTAACGTTTAAAAGCAGAGTTTAAGTACAGRTAATATTTGAATCCCAAGTTTGCGACTCGTAAAAAAACTAATGAAATTTCCTGTTATATAGATGGCCAGTGTCATGTTAAATATGAAAAGGACGGTTGTTATAACAACAATCAAGGCAAACCTCATGCATATCCTGTAATGCTGTTTACTGATAATGAGCCTGAATCAAACAAATACAGCAACATCAGCACAGGTTTTACTCATTGGAACTCTTACGTCTTTGACCTTGCATGTCGATGCGCTGCTACAGCTAAGCAAAGGRAATTCCCCGTTTTCAGCTTGCAAAATTTCGGTAAGTTGTCCGGCTAATCATTATCAAATAGRCCCTTTAACGACGCCATGTTGAATTTTAMAGAAATTATGGGATGTCCAAGGTGACAAAGCACAAATTGTTATAYRGAATGGTTTCAAAAAATTACGTCCTTTCACAATTTATGTGCTTTAAAATTTTTAATTATTTCTTCATAACATCCATTTCTGTCACATTTATTGTTTTAAGATATAATGTTCAATCTCATAGCATTTYTATTTCCTAAATCAACCGTTGTATACGGTAAGCGTATTTCGAGCTAACACAGTTTGATTTCCATCCTTCAAGGTGAATGTTGGGCAGGCCCGAAAAAGGTTGATGRCACCAAGAAGGATTCTTGCATTGGCGAAGACATTGCTCAGAAATGCAAACTCGATCAAGATGACGTTTGTGTCGGACGAAAGGAATCAAACTTTGTTTTTAGAATTCTTTAAGACAATGTTGTTATACAGAGCCAATAAATGCTAATGCTACTCTTAGAATTGTTGGACGTCACATGATTGACAGTCTAGCCATTTTTCGAATTGCTTTGTATAAAGGCGTTATATAGAGGATATTACATGGGYGCGCGGAGATACGGATTTTATCTTGAAAAGATCTTGAAGAGATTTTCAACACGAGAAGATAAAATTCGTATCTCCAAGCGATTATGTATTATGTTATAGCTCAATTCTAACACGCGCGCTGATTGGCGGATTTCATGAGAAAAGCTACGGTTTATTTCGCCGGTAAACCAGGCTGCTGTCTTGAAAGACTTTTGAGTCTAAATGGTGGACGCCGGCTATAATATAAAAGCAATAAACGATAGCTTGAAAGGGTTTACTGGTGAAATAAACCGCTTGGGATGGTTGGGAGAACACTCGCAAAGGTAAATCACTCGCCTACTTATCTTTTCTCGTGTTTTTCTAACCATCCCGCCGCGCAGTTTATTTCGCCAGTAAACCCCTTCAAGCTATCGTTTATTGCTGAAATATTCTGTTTATCATACTGATATCATATGAAAGCAAATTATCTCGTAAAATACCTTTTTTCTTACTTCCACTATGCAGTCAAAGTAGAGAAACTTCGAATTTTCACTACGAAATGGGGAAATATAGGCATTTCATAGATAATTATATGATAACTCAGACACTCTAAGGCATAATAATCGATTAATTTTATTGTATAAAATTAGYATTTCGATCAACTTCATCAAACTTGGCCACTCTTAATATTTTGGTAAACCAAATGTTTTTAATAAGTTTTTAATAAACATAGTCAATATAAACATCCACATGCATTTTCATCAAGTTTCAACTCGTCTGTGTACTTTTTCCATAGCCTTTTTAAAAAAATCCAAAATGGCGGCCATATGGTCACGTGATTTGGTTTTCATGGCAACAAATCCTGTTAAAAATATTTGGTTTGCCAAAATACTAAGAATGTCCAAGTTTGATGAAGTTCTATTGAAATGCTTATTTTATACAACAAATTGATGCCTTATTCAATATTTTTCTGAAAGCCATGTGAAATATATCATTTATATGACAAATGAAATTTGATTGTTCATCAAAAGTTTCGAGATCAGTCTTTCAAGACAGCAGGCTGGTTTACCGGCGAAATATACCATAGCTTTTCTCATGAAATCTGCCAATCAGCGTTCGTTTTAGAACTGAGCAATGATATAATAGAAAATAAGTACTAGACTTATTCCATAAGTCGGTACCAGTTCCCTCTCTGTCAATATTTATTTTGTCGCTAGTTTGAGCCACAAACCAAAAAATCGAGGAGCGAATACTACGAATYATAGAATCAGTCTAAATAAACTCTGGTGAAAAACTTGAATTCAAAGGACTGAGTCGTTGATCGTTGTGACCGCGCGTCACGGTAATGTATTCTTGAATCAGTGTTTACACGACGTGGAGTCACTGTCACAATTCTGTGTAGTGATCCGTACCCCAAAGTCATACGAAATCCGCTTCAACACTAAAGTAGACTTGTTAATCAAATCAAAAGAACAGGTATAAACCAAGAAGCTGTGAACACTGCAGCTGGGAGAGGAACCCGACACCCCCCAATACTCCTGCCTTCGGMGCTCGTTACACCCCCAATTTAAAATATGTGTCGCGGTCCCTGACATGTGCTTACTATCCAAAACGTCCACGCTACGCCCTTGCTGTACATTTGTATTGCATTATTGTCTGCGAATGTAAGTCAATATTGCATGAAAGCATTAGCCTGGAAAACCCTTAAAATGGTAATCAGACAAGTTTGACAACATTCAAGTATCGCTTATGAAAAATATTTTTTGCCAGAAAGATATTACGTCGTAAGAATGGTGCTTGAYGGCACAGTTTGTAAATTCATCTTCTTGTATWTCCTGGGATTAGATTTCGGACAGTTTTCAGTARTGGCAAGCACAACAAGTGGAGAAGAAAATACCAAGCCAAATTTGATACCAGGAACGCCAGTTTGGACGGACTACAAGGGAGAAAACGGCGATGAAAGTCAACAAGCAGCTGTTGTCATAGCGGTAATATGTTTTGGTGGAATAATTGGATTTTTGGCTTTATTTTGGATCATAAGATTTCTTGGGGACATTGATACCACATCCATACGATTGTATGACTGTGCTGAATTGAACAGCAATGAAGCAATTGGTATAAAAGTTGGTATGGCACATTTAAAAGTCACTTCAAATGATGCACTTGACACTAAATTGAACAGATTTCAGTCCACTGTTGTATGATAATTTCAACATTAAGATCATTTTTGGACCTACTGGATTAAAGGAGTGTACTAAGTTTTCTTAGTGGATATTTTTGTGATGCATTTTTTTTCGTTTCAAATCGAGGATGAGTTTGTTATGAAAAGCATTTAAAATGTAAATGAAAATGTTTACACCTCTTTGTAGGAGATCAAAATGATTTCGGTAGATAACAATCAAATAGTTAAGTCATTACTGAAGTCATTCTTATCAAGTAATCGGACTTGTATTATGAAGGTTTGCAGCTGAGAAGACGAATAAGTAGGTTGGCTGAACGGAATGATAAAWATGTCCCTGGTTATGACTGTAAAGGTAAGCTCATCCACTTCAATTAAAAATTAGCAGGAATTTTAGTTCATTGTCAAAATAGTCACTCAACGTAATGAGCTTCCATGTCATTGTGATTTCTTTATTTTGTATTTGTGCTATAATTATCAGAAAACTTTAATTACAACCATTTTTTCAATTGCAATTTTGAAAAGAGTCGTTATAGTTACATACATCTGTTTCTTATAAAGTTAATGAAAAAAGTCTGGTTCTGCAAACCTTTTTCGTTGATATTCTTATRGTTTTCGTCTTCTTTTTCTTCTTCTTTTTCTTAGCTTACATTTGCCAGTACGCCAGGAAAAGATAACCAATTATAATAGGACAGAATACACAACCACAGAAACTAAGACTTTCGATGGGACTGAATCACCTTTTAACACAACATGAGGCAAAATATACAGTGGCTTATTGCAAGGTTATGAAGACTTTATCTTTGACGACGCGAGAGCTCAATTAAACTACATTACAAATCAAATATTGAAATAATGTAAGCCCATTGCCATTATATTTGACAATCTCTATTGCAGTAGAATTCGGTCTGTCCTCAATTGTTCCGTTCTGAAGACATTTTTGTTTTCTTTTTAAACACCAGATGGACGAAGGTGTAGGTTGTAATGTAGAAAGTGACTTAATGACTTCTATCGGTGATTCGCCAGTGAAAAAAAACAACACTATGTATTATAATAATGGTCAGTCACAATAAATGAAGAACTGTCTTACTGAACACAAACCKTAAAAAAATGGAAGCAAATCTTAGTTTGCTTAGATTCGATAGTAAATATCAATTTTACACACATAGGTRTTTCTTTAGAGTGGTTTGTGTTACTGTAAACAGGTCATTTTTCTGAAGAAATAATCTCTTTGACGCAACGACAATAATAATCTGTAGTGAAGGCTGGAGTCGCTTGACATATTTTGAGTATTTACACTTTTTACTGGTTTGAATGTAATCAATGTTGTCATTAAGCAAACTGTCCCACAACATCGCAAGCACTCATTTAAATTTCATTCAAATCTCGCTCCTTCTTCTTTCTAGCGATAAACGGTGATCGCAATTGTATGGAAGAGATCTCATCAGTCTTGAAAACACACATTTCTCTTGATGCTTGTTCATTTCGTTTGTAGTAAACCATGTAGACAGCAAACACTAGTCCAAATATTATAGACATCGCAAGAATAATTCCAATTACAAGAATCACAATTACTGCTGCACTATCGAGGGTAAATTTCGATAACGGCATCTTTGAAGACAACGACGACGATGTTGTTGTTGAGGACATTTTAGTCGTTAATTTRAAAAACAGTCAATTTACTTCAAACAGTTTTACTGTTAATGACAGCGGGTGCTTGTGGAAATATTACAGTGACGTTTYTCTAAGTRGAAGACTCCATTTTTTTGCCCTTTCAAACTTCTGATGGTATTTTCTGTTTTCAATCTTTYWTTTTCCAWTTATTCAAAGCTTACGTTCATAATTCATCAGCACTGAATGTGTTTGCTACAACAAAAGCTYCCTTTTTGAATATACAATAGCTCACCAGATGCGTTTTTTTCCTGTTGCTTAGTAATATGTAAATCTTCATTCAGTTTAGTCAATTTGATTAATTGTAAATAGTCCATCTACTACACCAGTAATAGCTGGATTTATGATACTCTATTTGTTAACATCTGATTAGTAGTAAATCTAAAACTGACAAATTGACTTCATACGCAATTTACTTTATTGAATTGAAAATCATTAAAAAATATCAAAAAATATCAACCCTAATTTAAACAGAAAGAATTTACGAAAGTGTACCACCAGCGTTATGAGTTTCTTTGACAAAATATGATCTTTGCATCATGTTTTATTGCAACGTTTGCTATAAATTTACCATTTAATCGACATTAATTGTATTGTAAATCATACTAGCGTCATGGYTTAAAAAAGCAACCATGCCTATGTCTAAACATCTTGTCAAGAATTCTAGTAGGATTATTTGATAAAAATCATGATGTCAAAATATTTGGTGAAAATCTGATCACATAGACCATAAACAAAAGAGCAAATTTATTTGTGTACATTTTGTTTTCATAAATAAGGAACAATTTTCAATTTTCATTTCCGAATGACGTTCGAACGGTTTATTTATTTTTATATTTAAGAACCAAATACATCTTCTGTTCTGTTCCATACCCTAACTACTCTTCACAGAAATTCTGT